GGTAGGATGCTGACATATCAATCATCAAAATAAATGACCAAAAACAAATTACTATTAATTTAAGGATGCAAATGTCTCAACACTTTTAGTCGCACTAGCTTTTCATTAGTTAATCAAAGTAAATCAAAAGATTAATAAATACTGTAACAAAAATATATTGCTCATAGTTAATGTTAGTTAATACATTAACTAATGTTAACAAATTAAACATTATTGTAAAGTGTTACCCTAAAAACAACGTTTTGCCTGATAGAGAAAAATACATAGTTGATAAAACACCAAAGAAATATCAAATAAAAAAACCAGATGAGTAAGAAGTGTTTAGTAACATTCTGTTAAGTGACATTAAATTTAGCAAACAGACACAGCTTTATCCATTAAAACATTTATTTAGCTTTCAATTTTAGTTGTCAATTCAATTGTCAATTTAATTTTAGTTGTCAAGGGATTGTGTTCACAAGTAAAAAAAAACAAAAAAAACACGAACATTCATCCATTCAAGCATTCATTCATTCAGAAGAAAATGTCATTATGCAATAAATTAATGAATTAATGCAATAAACTTTCTAATAATTTTTAAAAAGTTTGTTCATTTAATAAAAGTACTAAATATACATACTGTCCAGCCAGGCAAAGTGAACTTTTCTTCGAAAACTTTGATGGTTGACTGTCATAAAACTTTCTGCACACTAGTGACAGAGTGAGAAAGGCTCCATCTCCTTTTTCATACACAACATCTAGACGAATCTGTCTTGAGCAGCTCTAATGGTAGCTGAATAATATATATATATATACACACACATACACACACACACAACTATTTAAAATATGAAATAACAAAAATAGTTTAATGAAATACTTCATATTTAGTCATACATCAGCAAGGCCTCCTGTTGGGTCCATGGCTGAAAAAGAAAAACATACATATCTTTATAACATTGTAAATGACAATTAGTAATATTATTTATATCTATGAAATTACAATTAAAAATAATGCACTAAAAGTACATTTTCAGCATGATAATAATAAATGCATTAATGGATTATTATCTATATATAACTATATTGCATTAATATAAAAATTTAGGTAGAAAATCGACCAGAGCTGTGATTGCCTGTGGCCTCGTGCTGAAACTACAGCACCAATTTACCTCATTTTAACATGGTATCGCGTAAATATTTGTCACATCTAAAAATGTCTATAATGTTTTATAATTAGTAATAATAATAATAGACATGCGACATGTAGGACATAAATCTGACAGTCACTGTCTTAAAAAAATCTCACACTCTGATTTATCATCCTCATTTATATAGGCTACTTTAGCAAAATATGCATTGATAAATTCTGTGGTTTGCAGACAGTGTTCTTAGTTGATATTTTGTTGAGCTGTATTGACAACATCCAAGAGAATAGTCAAAAACAGAGTTAGCCTGAATCTGAAAGTCTCTATATTGATCTGTATTTTGGTGGTTAATTAATCAGGTTTTGCCAAAACCAAGTTATAAATGACAGAGAGCTATCATAACAATATACATGTGAAATACTCAAGAGTATAATGACATTCTGAATAAGAGCTCTAGTCCAGTCTTTAATTTGTATCATATTCTTTTTACCACTAGATGGTGCCATAATGAAAAATATGAATATGGATTAGTTTAGTATCCATTTTATCAATTTGTTTTGTACTTTATATAACGGACCCTTTTCACAATGCTGGGGTTCTTCTTAGAAGTGGAAGTTTTCATAGTTGGGTAAACTTCTAGTGGTGAATGGAAGCTAACATATATTTTTGTGTTCCCCTTTGCTCCAATAGCATAAGAAAAATACACAATAGTGTTTCTAATAGTGTTGATTGCACAATTGGTGGCTGACTAAATACTTTTTTCCCCACTGTATATAGGTATTGAATTTAGGGCTGTGCAATTATGCAGATGGAGCGGCATTTACTACACAGAGTCGTAGTTCACTGACAATTAGGCAATGTCGCGTTCATTATCGCAGGCGATTCGATCTGCGATAATGAACGCGATATTGCCTAATTGTCAGTGAACTACGGCTCTGTGTAGTAAATGCCGCTCCATCTGAAAGCAGGTGATG